TTTCAGTTTGTATACTCAGCTCTGTAGCCTATCATTATTTCATTTTTCTTCTCTTACAAATTTAGAATACTCATATTTACAACCAACATGGAAAAGCCTTATCAAAACACTGTTGCCTGAATTCTGATCAAATACTTCATTAAAGTAATTAAATTGTTTGCAGTAATTTCATTAATTCTTGAAATTAAAAATATATGGCAGAGTTGAGTGTGGTGACTCATACATGCAGTCAAGACAGTGAGTTTAGGCATACCCTTTCTCGCCCCACCCCCACCCTGCCAAAAGAACAAAAACAATGCAAAAAGCAGACACTACTAACTGAAGAACTGTGATACAATGACTATAAAGGAAACCAAAATCAATACTATATAAAACCAAACTACTTAAAAGCCACATTAGTGAATAGGCCTTCAGCCACTGATGAACTGGTACCTCTCCTGAGGCACAGAAGAGCCCAGCTAAACTTTTCAGTACCACTGAGATGCACACTTCATGAGTGGCCCTCATTAAATCCTACATTTAGCTTAAGCTAAGAGGCTAATACTGAAAATTCTATTAGTTTTACCACTTCCCACAATTACTGTAACATTCTAAGAGTGATACAGAAGACTTTGAACACTACTGTATCAACTACTAGAGCTATTCCAACTCAAACACACCACTGTGGTCTGGTTGTGGTATGTCCCCAACGTCTCATATGCTTAACACCTTGGCTCCTGGGCTCCTGGGCTAGCAATGGTGGGTGGTGGTGCACTACTAGAGGTAGGCCATTTGGGTATCACCCTCAGAAGGAATGAGTGCTGATCTTACAGAGTACATAAGGTCTCAAGAAACTGGCTAAGTTCCCCCCAAGAACCAGTGTTCTGAGGACTAGTTCCGGGCCTATGAGGTCCATTTCCTCCCTGATACACACCCCGACAGCAGCTGGCCTGTTCTCCTCCTACATTTCCACCACACTGTGACAGCCAGGATGCAAGTATACTACTACCTAGGCCCTCTAAACAGGTGGGAACAAACAAATCTCTTCATAATGTACTTTCTCATAGCAACATAAAGAGGGTAAAGACACAGACTAAAGCAGCCCTGGACATGCACATAAGCTGTAATCATTTTCTAAACCATCATTCAAATACTAATATCTTCCACTATGAAATAACTAAGAGAAAAAGGTGATTTTCAATTATTTTTGGAAAATGAAAACATCCCCCAAAGGAGATTTCTGTAAAACATAATCTAAGAAGGGAAAAACTATGGTGGAGTGTTCCACAGTGATGCTGCTAAATTTAGCATGTGGGCAGTAAAAATATTCCTTATCAGATACTGGCACCATCACTACCACAGCACTCCTGACTGGCAGATTAACAGTATACTAGTCTATCTTATAAGAAGTAAATTCTCAAGTCATATTATGTCATTCCCTCAGCTCAATACTGCCCAATGTTTCCCATTCAGAAAAGGTTAACTCTTCCAGCTAGACCCTCATCTCTCTGCTCCCCTGGTCAGCTCTACCCCCAACATTTCCTAGTCAGCCTGCAGTTTATATGCCCTTCCTCGGAGACCCTTTCCTGCCTACCTGGTCCTCTTTTCTCCCAGCACTTCTCACAATGCAGAGTTGCATATGTATTCAAATAAGTTTCCATTGTTTGCCTACGCTGCCCGATTAGCTCCATGCTGATGTGTTTGTTCGAGGCAGTCTATCCAATACCTGGCATGGTGCCTGGGTGTGGAAGGTGCTGGATAAATATTTGTTGAATAAATGAATGGGTGAATAAATTAGGAGGCTTTATGCCTATGTAACAGATCCATCAGAAGTAAAGCAGGATTTGTGATACTGATGCTTTATAAGCACAATAAATAATCAGAGAACTCCTATAGTATTCCAAGAGCAAATATGTACACAAATAAGGGCTGTGATAATAGAGATCATCCAACAATAGCATAGGCATGCCATGCTATCATAATCTGCCTGAGCAGAGGCTGGCATTCGTGGGTGACTAAGAGGCCCTATCTTTCACTGTTTACCACTGGCAAAGAGATACCTGTGCTCTACCCCCAAACAGAGGCAGAGGAGAGAAACAAAGACAAAGGTGTTGGGAGAAAGACCAGGCCAGACACCAGGTCACTGAAATGCATGAAGGAGTAAACTATAGGTCAAAATGTGCAGCAGGGATCAGGGTCTAGGTAAATGGAAAATGTCAACAGAGAAGACAGGAACAGCAGCAGAATGAAGTCATTCGAGTCTAATGCCACGGCCTAAAAGAGATAGAAAGAATAATAAGGGTGCATTAGGAGTTGGGAGTTCAGCTCCCCAGTACTGCCTGTTCCCCAAAAGCCTGTCGCTTTATACATTTAGTTAAATATGTTAAGTATGAAGAAACTCTATTCATGGCTGAATGGAACTCAAACACAGAAAAGGCCATCAGAGAAAAAGCAGCAGCAAGAACGGTGTGGCCACACAGACAGGGGTGTACATCTTCAAGGCCTCAGAAGGGCAGAGCTTGTGACTGAGGTCCAGGCCCCTAGATGGTGGGAAACAGATTCAGTCCCTGTTCACAATAGAAACAGTATTTTGTATTTACTAGGTACACAGCCTTTTGAGGCAGTGGGACAAAAGAGTAAGGCCACAACAGACCCATGTTAGCACTGCCACAAAAACCCACACACGCAAAAGGGTCCCTGGTTTCTCCATCTTCCTTAGCCATGGTGAGCTAGGCTCAGCTATCAGGTTCTCTTCTGAAAATACAACTGCATAGTGCAGGAACAGCCATATTAGCAACGTCCCTTCGGACATGCATTCTGCTCTCTCAGAACACTGGGCTGCTCAACTTTGTCCTGATTCTGATTCTTCTACCCTTTCTATGACTTTTCTACTTTTGCCCTTCTTATTTAGTTAATTAGTTAGTTAGTCAGTTGGTTCAGGACCTTGTACATGCTAAACAAGCACTCTATTACTAAGCCACAGCCCCAGCTTTCTGTAGCTTTTGTCGTCCATTCTATTAACAGAAAATGGCTGATTTAAAAAGGAAATAATAAACAACAGCACAGAGACAAAAAAAAAAAAGCAAGAGAAATGTCAACGGCTATACAAAATTAAAAGTACTATATTTATACTACAAGAATATTTTGGGCACCTGTTATGTGCTCTCATACATTCTATCTTGTTTTCCTTCTTCACCAAATACTTTAACATGTCCTGCACGAGCTCATGTGTGTCATCCCCAGCAGATGGTGCTGTTTAGGGAGGCTGCAGAACCTGGAAAGACTGCCTAGCGGGATGAACTGCTGGGGGCAGTCCTTTGTAGGAAGGATAGTGTGCTCAGCCTGGTTTCCAGTCCCATCCCTTGCTTCCTGGTTCACCATACAGTGAAAAGGTTGCACTGAAAATCTAGTCACCAGGAACTGAATCACTTTGCCACTGTGCCATCACGGCCACCATAAACTGGCACCTCCTGAAAGTGAACCAGAGTAAGCTGATTTATACAACTGTAAAGCATTTCTAGTATCCTTGGCCTCCCAAGACCTTGCTGCTATTCTCTCCCTTCCTTTCTTCGGATCTTGGTAAAGCTAGATTTACTTATAAAATGTCATTTCCTTTTCCAATATGCAGTTTCTTTGTGAAGCCAAAAACATGACTACTCAACATTAATCTTTCCTCTCTCTTTGGTACTTGGTGTTTCGTTTCTTTTCTTTTCTTTTTTTTTTTTTTTTAAATTTCATCATCATTATTAGCAGACCATCTGAGCAGGTACGTTCTATCAGATTCTGTGGATGGCACTGCTTCAGAGCTGCTTAATACAGAAGTGATCACAGTTGATACATGCTACCCTTGATTCCAAGGAAGCGCCATGTTCCTGAAGACTGGTGTTCAGTAAAAACATAAGCAGTACTTGATTTGTCCAGCTTGTTCAAAGCTGTAATCACAAACACACACAGTAACTCCATAAAAAACATCGCACATTAACTTTATCAAAAAAGGCAACTATTATATAGCAAAGAATTGATTTTTCTTTTTTTTTAAGAATTCTAGTAACATGTAAAAATCTGTCATAGTAGTAACTTATACTGACAACTAGACTGGAAACTCAGATTTTCCTCTTGTTTATTTATCAAGAGAACACAGGATTTAATCCTCTTTTTAAATTTAACATTTTATTTTCTTCAAGCTTTGTCTCAGGTACTGTTTTATTGCTGTGAAGAAACACCATGACCAAGGCAATTTAACTGGGGCTTGCTTACAGCTTTAAAGGGTCAGTCCATGATCATCATGGCAGGAAGCAGACAGGCAGGACACTGGAGCAGTAGCTGAGAGCTTCACATCCTGATCCACAGGCAGCAGGCATAGACAGATTAACATTGGGCCGCCCACCAGCGACACACCTTCTCCAAGAAGGCCACATTTCTTAATCTTTCCCAAGTAGTTCCACTCACTAGGGGGAACAAGCATTTAAATACATGAGCCTAAGGGGGTCATTCTTATTCAAACCACCACAAACTTACTGGGAAGAAATAAGCACAACGAATATCCCATGATATCACTTAGACTTGTGTACTTCGCTTCCTATTAACCATGCAAATTCAGTTCCAAATAATGTACAGACAATGTGAAACATGCTGCCCTCAATTGTTGGAAGGAAAAATAACAGATCTCTGAGAAGCTTAAAAACAGACTGAATAAAAAAATTCCCAAAGATAAAAAGCATCACATGGCTTTCAAACACAACTATAACTTGATGAACGTTAGCAGCCTTATTTCCAAAACAGTGCAAAGACTTCAGAGATCCCCTGCCTAGCCATCCTGAAATGTCTCCAGATATGCCTGAGCATTAGCAATAGAGAGCAGGAAGAGGGATGCTGTGAGCAAGGTAGGTCAAGGGTGCTGCTAATCAGTTCACAGTACACAGCACAGCTCTTCACAAACATTCTCCAGCTCTGTCCTACATGGAAACATGACCAGAGGACAAGGAGTATGCACACCACTGCCATTTGCCAGAGCCACCTACCTTTGATGCTTGGGGTGTGGAAACCACGTGGATTGTGCTGGGTTTGACACCGTTGGCCTTTGTCCGCTTATAGAGGGCAAATCTGCTTTTCCTCCTGCCCCTGTCACCATTAGGCAAAGCACCATTGTACCTAAAACAGAGACAAAAACCACTCATTTGTCTGTAAGCTTTGAAAGTGTCAAGTGTGCATGTTAAGAGAAGGGGACAGGGATGGTCAGAGAGCTGCTCACTGAGCCCCCCGTGTAGGGAGAAGGCTGCAAGTAGACTTCAGCTGTAATAAAATCCAAATCACTCGAAGAGACTTCATTTAAAAGATGTACAAGTAATTATAGTTTTCCTATTCTATAAAGACAGACTCTTCAAATCTTTCTCAGAAGAGTGTTCTGCAGAGCTGGCTTGATTCTAACAGACCTCGGAAAGCACTTGAGAAATATTTTAAATGAACTAGTTAGGAAAGAGTATGCTAATTGAAACTCATCTCACACTCTCAAATCATGTTAATGCTTTCTTTACAATCTTTATTCGCAAAAGACCGAATTTAGCTACCTTCTTTAAAGTTTTGAATCCTAGATGCATTCTCATTTGTTTGAACCCTATACTGCTAGGTTAATGGAAAAAAACAGCTTGTACAAATTATACATGAGTTTTAGCCCACTCTCAGAAAACCTGGCAAGAAAACAAGTCATGGGGTGGTTTCTTACATTTAGCTAATGACAGAGTTTAAGGAAATTCAGAACTACAACTGACAGTCTGGTTTCAGCTGCATGTGCTAACCATAGCTTTACTGATATCCCAAGTGGCCATGAGGATTTGACTAAGATTCTTTGCTGGCTACACAGAGAATCTCTTCTCAAGAGGAGTGAAAGGGAGTCATATAAATTTACTCAGATAAACACAGCTGTTCCAAGACCCTCTGGGAACAGCAAAGAGAAGGACCACAGGTCTGGTGGCCCGTTCCTACTTCTGCCTTACCCAGCAGACCCTTGGCTTTCCTCCACGTCTCCACAGAAGAGAGGTGTGGCGTGGGAGGGTGAGGCCCCGGGAACTGCAGAGGTTGGAACAAAGGGGTCTGGGTGTATATTCAAGAGCTGAGTCAACAGCTAGCTCTGCCAGACAATGGTTTCTTATTACCACAGAAGTTACTTGTACTATGCTTGTAATCTCTTTCCATGCCCATCAAAAAGGAACCAGCTATCTAAAGATGTCTCTAGACTAAAGAAATAATTTCTTTCACATTTTAAGCCTCTCTTTTTTTCCCCTGAGGCAAGATCAGAAAATGTGCAGTTTCCACAAATCTGCAATCACTACTATCAAACACTCCTGAGTAAACAATCACCATAAACTCAGATTCGGGTATTTTGACACTGCTTAACTCAGGACCAGATGTCTATATTAAAAGAAGCATAGGAAGCAATTAAAACCCAAGACAGCAAACAACTTGCAGGAGAGTTTTCACTGCTTTGGACCTGATAGGCTACAGGCTCTGTCAAGGTTTCCTAGGCTATCCTTTGCTCACCCACACACTCCCAGTCAGAGGAAAGGGAACCCAGCCTGGGAAGTGTTCCACAGGCAGTGTAGCTCTCTCTGCTCCTAACTGCATTCCCCTCTTCCAAGTCTGCCCCTCCCCTCACAGGTGAGGCTCAGCACCACTCTCCGTTTTGGTAAGATGGTATAGCTGACATCTTCTGTCCCCCTCCACCTTACATCTGGTCCAATCTGATCAACATCCTCCTCATTCTAGGACACACAAAACTGGGACAAGGAACAACTAACTGCTTTCTGTGGGTGGCCTAAGCCACAAAATCACAGAACTGTGGGATTGTCACATTCTGACTGAAGCAAAAAGTGAGGGGAACAGAATTCATAAGGGCTTTTGTTGGTTCAGATGTACTTTAACCCTTATCCATGAAATTCTCTTCTACAGCCTCAAAACGATTATATTCAGCACAAAGAGGAAGTCAGAAACGCCAACACATGCAGAAACAATTTGATTTAAATTGCCTGTGTCTGTGCATAGATGAACAGATACTGTAGGTTAAATAAATCAGTGTATGGACAGACTGGTTACTTAATGTATCTAGATGACAAATGAAAAATCCTATTGGAAACAAAATAGTGGTGGAAAAGCAATGACAAAGATGGCATGGTTTCTAAGTAGTTTAAGCTCCCAAGCCATTCATTCAATATTTATAGTGCCCAGTACTAGAGCTGCAATGATGAGAATCAGCTTCCTGCCTTCACAGCCTTCTGTGGAAGGAGCAACAGATACAACAGTGTGACAAACACAGGGGACAAGAGGCACTGGCAGCACACGGAGCAGGGAGAGATACTCGAGTTGTCTTGATCCATGCCAGAAAACTGAAGGTGGAGCGCACGCCAAGCAAGGAGGCCTGAAGGAGTCCAGAAGAGTGGAAGCTCTGGAAAGGGGAGAGAAACAGACAGGGTGAGATTACAACAGCAGGGTACTCCAGGACCAGTACCTTTGTTTCTTATTCGAAGGAGACTAGGGAGTGTAGTCTCCTTCTCACGGAGTTAGAGTGGTGCAGGATGGATTAGTATGACCTGTGGAAATAAGCATCATCACTGCCAGAGGGAACAGGAAGAAGATGGATGGTAAGATACGAGCACATCCTGGAGCCTGTGAGCGGACTTTTCAGAAAAAGGCAAAGGCTCTCAAGATGAAGTCATCTTTAATTGCTGATGGGACCTAACTCTAATGGCAGCATGTTTAAGAGGCACTCAGGAACAGAGGGAGAGTCCACGTGAAGACAGACAGGGAGCCCAGAGTTCTACAACCATCCTCTAAGGAATGCCTTGAGTCCCTGGAGCTGGAAGAAACATGGAAGGATCTCCCCTGGAGTCATCTGAGGAATGGGTCCCTGTCCACGCCTTGATTTCAGCCATAAGCCTTCCAGGACTGTGAAAATATAAACTCCTGTTGTTTCACCCCACCAAGTGGGTGCTCACTTGTTATATGAGCCCAGGAAATCCCACTCAAAGCAAAATGGTGGGAATAGGCTAGGGCACGATAAAGAAGGTTTAGCATTGTCTTGAGGTGTCATAAAAAACAGCAGAACTAACAAGTCTTACACAGATACAGAAAGCTACACCCCAGAGACTCTAATGCAACACGGGGAGCAGGCTCCAGGTCACATCCATGCAAAGCTCCACGGGCTATGCTTGTGGAGGAGGAAAATCCAAAACAGATTCAATGGCACAGACAGAGAAGGGAAAAGTCAGAGAGGTTCCGACTTGGCCAAGGCAAGGACACTTCAAAAATAAGCACATGGAGGGCAGCTGTCACAGGTCTGACAGCAAAGGCCTTTGCTGTGAGTGGGGGGGGGGGGCGGCCAGCAAAAATCGAGAGGATGAACAAGATGACTGTTCAAGGAAAAGATGCAGAATGGAGATGCGAAGAAAGCCGAGGCAATGCTTACAAATGGGAAGCACTACCAGAAACCATCCTTCTTAGGCATGGGCAGAAGGACCCAGCCCACGAGAAAGTTCTATCACAAAGACAGAACTCCATGTGTATCTAACCAGATCAGAGGGTAAAGGCACAACCATGATCTGGAGAAGAACAGCCCATGGTGATCTCATCTGCTTCACAGAAACAATACAAAACAAGCTGATGCCTCCAACCCTGTGCCTCCCCATGCCTCACAGTAGTCTCCACCCTCTGAGTAGCAGAATCCAAAGCACTCTGCATCCAGCCTACGACCATTTGATTTTTTGTCTCAAATGGCAAAGAAGTCATCAGTCACGAATACCCAAAGTCCCTCCACCCTTTTCTCTTCAAGGTCTCTTGGAGGCTCTCCTGTTGAGGAACATGGTCTGGTAGGTCACAAATCCCTCTCAGTTCCCCACTGAGAAATGGAGTCCAATTTCCCCTTCTCTAAATATAGGTTGGCCTTCTTGACTTATGACCTACTTGCCAACAAGATGTAAAAGAAGTGACAGTCTGAAAGAAGTGACAGTCTGAAACTTCCCATTCGGGGTGTGAAGATGCTTTGTGGCTTCTGCCTGGAATGCTGAGGACCCTGGGTTGCCTCGCATGCTACTAGGGCACTAGTAGAATGACTGGCAATGCTCTCTTTGCTTCACAGACTTTATGTTGATGTCCAAACAACTCCAAGCCTGGAATTAAGCTTGAGACAACCTAACAACAAGCATCAGCTCTCCTTGCCCTTCCTCCCCATCTGGTCCCACTACTTCCCTCAGAGAACTGTGGGTTGTGGGAAACCAAGGCACCTAGCATAGTGCACCAGAGGCACACCGTAGGCACTGAAAGCTTCCAGGCCTGGTAGTCTAGCAGAGCACCTCTGGTATGGCAGGCCCAGGCAGAAAGGTGTAAATCTGCTTACAGAGGCAAAAAGGCACTACTCACAAAAGGTCAGAACGTCCTCTGCCTGGCCAGCCTTCCACAGTGACATCTATAGAAATAAAATGTCTGGGCACTGCTGACTCATCCATTTCAGTGGCTGAATGGGGTGTTCCAATTTGAGTCCACAAGGTGCTTTTTAATCTTCATGTTTAAAAAAAAAATTCAATGATGTTTTTAAACATCCACTTATTTAGTTGATGAGTGATTAAAAAGTCTTCCAAAGATGCAGAGCAAACAACTTGTCTTTGTAGTAAACGCATTTGGAATTTGCAAGATAAAATCCTATGGGGAAAAACATCTGCCCAAGAATGAAAGGGATTCCCTCAATTTACATGCAGTTTGTATACCAATGTCCACCACCAGTATCGTTTTCCGTGCCCTTGTTCTCTGCCAAGAAACTCTGAAGTAAGGGCACACAGACTTTAACACATAGGAAATGTCAGGCAGAACCCAGAGCCACGTCCAGCCCTGTATGACCCCAAATTGTATGCTTTCCAGTCGACAGCAATGACAAGTTAGCAGTTCAAGGCATTTCTTGACATACAACGCAATGACACCATATTGAAATAACACTTGCCACCTAAAAATTCACTTGTCAAAAATAGTAAGTAAAATCCTTAAGAAACTGAGGAGAGGGGTGCCAAGAGTCCCCACCTGGGAGACAGTACAGAGGCAAGGAGCTGGCTCTCACATCGGCATCAGTATGGAATGAAGAGGCATCATCAGCATGTTCCAGAGCTGGCGGG